TCTGAATCATATGCCTGTGACTGTTGTAGGCCCAATTTGAAGAGGACGAAGAGAGTGATCCGCACAGACAGCGCATTGAGAACGACCCCGACGCCATCAACAGTTTCGCCTGTCCGTTGGTGTACTACAGACACATCCCCGTGCACTGGCGTGTGAATATGTCTACGGGTACGTTCGGGTTGGCTGATCCTGGTATCAGTATGAGCCTGTGTGTGCATATGTATGCACACACAATAGACGTATATATACACAGACTCACATATGTACGTACCACAACTATGGCGTGTTTATTGGTGGGCTGCACACGAAGCTTGATGTACTGGCATGTGCATTTAGTGCGATCGCTTGCAGAGTCAGGCCCATACACCGCGAAGGGGGTGCACGTGTATTTTATATAACTAAACGGCACATTGGATGATGGCATTGTATTATGTACATACCTCATACAGCCGTATTCGGTACATAACATTATATCCTTAAATGTCACATTGGATGATGACAACGCACATTCTACGTACCACATAAAGCCGTATTGGTTACTTAGCACTATAACTCTAAAAGACACATTGTATGATGACAATGCACATTCTACATACCACATACAGCCGTTTTGGTTACATAGCACTATAACTCTAAAAGACACATTGGATGATGACAATGCACATTCTACATACCACACACAGCCGTATTGGTTACATAGCACTATAACTCTAAAAGACACATTGGATGATGACAACGCACATTCTACATATCTGATACACCTGTTTTCCTTACATAACACTGAATCTCGTGAAACTCGCCTTGAGCTAGGTGCAATTTGCGAGATGCGCCGCAGGCGTTTGGTGTGAGCAATCGGAGAGACATAGTCGCATGCTATTGAGTGTCTGAATAGGCGTACGGATTGGCTATGGATGTCTGTGCACAAGCCTGTCTGTGCGCCTGCTTTGTTTATACGAGAGCATCCATGTATACATAGTACACATGTACATACACATATACATTTATTTATACACACACATGTACATACACATGCACATAGTCATGTACAAAGGTATATCCGATACACCCTACAACATGCACATACAAAAACATACATACATCTAACCCCTCTACGCACTACACACAGCCCTGGGGAGTGCCTGGAGTGTGCTGCAGCCGTTCGGTGTAAGCAATCGTCGGGGCATGTTTGTGTACCGTGAGGTGTCTGGGCGAGTGTTCTATCTCGTGGTGAATGAAGGCAACTGTGGCAAAGAGAATACGGACCACCACACCCCAGCGACCAGCGGTAGAGGGTCGGCCCGCACTGTAAGTGGAGCGACAGGCGTGTGGCGATGCGGTTGGGTTGGGTTTGGTATTGTTTTTGATGCGGTTTGATTGGGGTTGGTATTGTTTTTTTGGGTTCGTTTGATTGGGGTTGGTATTGTTTTCGATTTTGTTTGATTGGGTTTGGTATTTTTTTGAATTGCGTAGGGTGTAGGATGCGTGCGGCGGCTGTTCTTAGTCTGACTATTCACAATTGAAGCGTAGAAAGGTCGCTCAGTTGCTACTACTTCCTGCTTCCGTCTGAATTCTACTGTTCCTGATAAATTCATACAACCCCTACCCCATTTCCACGCAACCATACGCCCCGATAAATATATTGTGTTGTATAGCTCCTGATGTAAAACTCTCGACTATTTTATCCATTGCAATGTCCGACCAATACCTACAACTGGCCTCGTCAACCCAACAGTCCAGCGCGCCTTCAACGCCGTTGGTACCCACAGACTCCGCCACATCGCTGGTCAATCTTCCCACGCACTCATCAGCAGCCACCGGAGACAGCACCCAACTACGCCCACACACCGGGAGACACCTCCACACGCTATCAAACAACTCACTCACACACCCACTGCCTCGCACCAGCACCCCCACGCACGAGCATGGCCACACACACACGCACGCACACACTAACCTGTTGACATCGCATCGTAAGCTCGAACAGACGTGGTCTACGCCAGCGCCTTCGTATGCGGCGACTGCGCACGCACCTGCCAGCAGAGCGATGGACGTTACACACTCACACACACAGCTGGCAACGACCACGGGGGGAGTAGGTGGTAGCAGCAGCAGCACATTCGCACACAAACACAGCACGTGTGGGCTACTGCAGACACAGGCACACACAGGCACACATACAAACACACACACCAGCACACACACACAGAAGCATCTGCACCAGCCGGGCAGTGGGCTTGGGCCGGAGGGACATGCGCAGGATCAGGCAAGGGTAACCCATTCACAGATACTAACACACTCCCAAGCACGCGCACACTCTCCCCTACCACTGCGCAAGAATATCTTAGCCACAATGACCACACCTGCACTGGGTAGTGTGGGTGGGTTGGGTCTAGGGGGTGGCTCGGGAAGTGGTACCAACTCCGAGGCCGTTGGTACTAGCTCCAACACCGCAGCCGATCTGCGGGCGCGTGCGGTGACCCCGGATGGCAAGCACACGCTGATGTCTGGGGCTGCGGAGGGGAACACCGGCACACAGCCACAGCCACACCACGGGGAGAGAACGAATAGCAGGCCTAAAAGCAACCAAGACGAGGCACATACAAGCACAGACACGTCCACACAGGCAACACTGGAAGGTGCTGATATGAACTCGATACGGTCACGCTCAGGGTCAAGCTCAGCACCCCCACCAAACTCACTGCCAGGTGCAAGTGGACAAGCTGCCGGGGATGATCAGTGCTGCAACGTGCGCAATGTCAACAACTGCCTGTCTGTGTCTGGTAAGCATGTGCTACTTGTGATTACTGTTTATATATA